GTTTAACACATGTTGTTGTTGTCTGTTGCCATTCAGTCAATTCCATCTCCTGGCAAGCTCATGTATGCCTGCCTCTCTTTAGGGGTTTCAAAGCTGTGAGCATTTAAAAGATCACCTGGCCTATGTTCCAAGGAATGGATTCAAACAAACAACTTTTTGCCTAATAGTTGAACAACTAACCATTGGCACTACCCAGGATCCCTCACCTGACACATAATTGTTGTTGTGTGCCTTGGAGCTCATAGGGTAGACTCTGCCCCATAGGGTTTTCTAGGTTATAATCTTTGCAGGAACAGATTACAAGGACTTTTCTCCTGCAGAGCTGCTGGTGGGCTCAAACTACTGACCTTTCGGTTAGCAGTGAAGCATTTAATTACTACAACACCAGGGTTCCAACATAGTTGTTGTTGTTGTTAAGTGCCGTCAAGTTGGTTCCAACTCATAGCAACCTGTATAGGGTTTCCAAGGAGCAACTGGTGGGTTTGAACTGCCTACCTTGAGACTCAAACTGACCTTGTGGTTCAGTGCATTATCTTTCAGTGCCACAGAAGGGCTCCTGACACACAGTGGGTGATTGACAAACAGCAAACGAAAACTCAGGAGCACAGAATGGTTGGGCAGCATACAAAGGTGGTCTGGAGCCCAGCATGCCTGCCATTAAAGGTTGTTTCTCCCACAGAACTGCCCACCTTAATGCAGGTGAGACCCCTCTCCTGTTCAGGGTGTTATTGTTGTCCTTTACCCAAGGAAACATCCCCATTTTAGAAAGTCTCTGCAAATCCCATCCCCCTTTCTTTCAAATCTGGAGGCTGCCAGGGGCTTCTTAAGGAAACATAGTTCCAGCCCAAGCCAGCCTCAGATTGCAAGAGCCGGGAGAAGCTGGGCACCCACTGTGAGCTGTGCTAACCCAGCAGTGGGGCGGGGGCAGGCTCATCAATCATAATGATGCCACAGGGTGGAAAGAGATGAGCCCTTGGATAGCACGGAAGATGGATGGGGAAATTGACATGTGATTAAAGTGGAATGCTCCTTGGATGCTGGCAGCCTGCTCCCACTGCAAAGTTAGGACAGTCAGGCCTGGGTCCCCCACCTCCCACCAAGGTTAAAGAAGTTTCCCTCTAAACCACCTGGCTCCCTGGCCTCTCTACTCTGTTCATGACTGAGGCTGTGTGCAGTGGGACCAGCGCAGGTGCTGGGAAGCATTGGGGAGATAACGCCATTTCACCACTTCAGCTTGCCTGGTTCTTGCACTAATTGATAATAATAATGAGAGCTCTGGTTGAGCACCTGCTATATGGTACTAAAGGTGCATTTTCTCAGTTTCACACATCAAACCAAGGAGGTCTGAGTTAAATCAGACAGCAAGAGCAACAGTTAGTGGAGGAAACAGACCAAGGGTAGCCCAACCCCATTATATCCTTTGCTGTCAAATCAATTCTGAATCACAACAACCCTATAAACAGGGAAATGCCCCCATAGAGTTTCCAAGGCTATAATCTTTAAGACAATAGATCTCCAGGTCTTTTTCCAGCAGAGCCACTGGTGGATTCAAACCGTTGACTTTTCAGTTAACAGCTGAGTGCTTTACACCAGAGCTTCTTCAGGAAACTTGTTGTTGTTATTGTTGGTCAGTGCTGTCAAAGCAGTTCTGGCGTATAGCGACCCTGAATAGGGTTTCTGAGAAGTGGCTGGTGGGTTTGAACCATGAACTTTGCAGTTAGTATCCAGTACTTATCCTATAGTACCACAACAGGAAAATTGCCCCATAGGGCTTCCAAGGTTGTGACCTTTATGAAAGCAGATTGCCACTGCTTCCTCCCATTCAAATAAAGTCCCTTTCAATAAGCAGCTGAGTGCTAACCACTGTGCCACCAGGGTTCCTTAAAGAGCTACAGGGGGACTCATTCATTCATTCATTTGTTTATTCATCCAACAGATTTCTACTGAACATACAGTATGTACCATCATATCTATGAGCAAAACTCCTAATGGGCTACAGCTTAGGGAGAGAGATGATAAGATGTGAATTTGATCCTTTCAGGTGGTGATAAATGCTTGGAAGAAAAAAGATGACAGGAGAGTAGAGCAGAGGAAGGGACTTTAAATGGAGTGGCCAGTGTAGGGGACAACTAAGCTGAGACCTGAACCAGGCAGGGGAGAAGCTGGGGAAGTGGTCCAGACAGAGAGAAGGGAAGTGCCAATGCCCACCATAGGAAGGAACTTTCTGTGCCTGAGGAATTCAGCTTGTGTGGCTGGTGCTGCAATGAGGGGGAATATACATGATGTGACAGCTGAGATATTCCATGGGCCTCTCAGGCCAGGCTGAGGAGTTGGGATATTGTTTTAAGTGGTATGGGATCCCTCTGGAGGTTTCTCAGCAGTAGGGCTTTCAGTAGGATAGAATTAGAATGTTCAATAGGAATGAAAATTATGTTTAGATGTAAGTCACAAAAGAGATTGAATTTATGTTTGGCTTCTGTATGGAGGGTAGGTGGATGGGCAACAGGGGAAAGCAGTTTAAAGCATTGATGTCATCATCACCACCACCATCACAATCACCATCACAACCATCACTATCATCACTCTCATCACCATAACCACCATCACCATCATTACTGTCATCACCATTATCATCACTATCATCACCATCATCACCATCACCATCATCACCATTATCATCACCATCACCACCATTACCATCATCACTACCATCACCATCACCATCATCACCATTATCATCACCATCATCGTCATCACCACATCATCACCATCACCACCATCACTGTCATCACCAT